GTTTGCATCAGTATACGAAGCTTGCCTAATGTAACAATTCAACTGTCTGAGAGTAATTTAAGATAATCATGTTCTTAATTTTATAGCTAAAATATAATCTCCTAATACATTTTACCTGTGCTCTAAGATCTTTCAAAATAGTTTGACTTTTCGATTAAACATGATTTTCTAGAGGCGTATAGTAATAAATGGTGGGCAATTTTGTCAAATCATGGTTAAGAATTATTTGCCTCCTAAATGCAATCTTTGGGGAATAAATAAGTACTCAGCCAGAACTCAATTCCTAGTGAGTCAAGTTTCATTAAGAGCAGTAGGAGGAAGAGGAGGGAAGGCAGTGATTTTAATAGTAATAGTAACCATAATCATGACAATACCTAAAATCCACTAAGCCTTTAGTCTATGTCAGGAACATAATGCATACTTTAAAAAAGAAAAGTCTAGGATAAGCCATTTTCTCTCTTCCTGATACCTCCAGCTTTTGGTATCACTCAAACAGCAGCTTTGTCACGAGTGACCCACTGTATGTATACCTAGGGGCACCTACCATGGTGGTCAGTGTCCAGAGAATAGACCAAATTATTCTCTACGGCTGCTAATCTGGCAGGGAGGAAGGTAACTCAAAAAAGGAGTAAAACACATCCATTGTGAAGCAGAGATAATTTCCTGCCACCACCTTTCAAATACACTTCAAGTTCTGGAAATTCTGTATGAACGTTCAAAGTAGAAATTAGATGGCATTTTGAATTTACCCTGACTTTGTATTAAGGGAATAACAAGCAAGACTGAACAAGCAGACCTTTTTCTAGTATGGTTAAATAGAGAGTAATTATTAATTCCCCTAGTGACTGTTATCACCCACTTCCCAAGATAACAGATACTGGAACCAAGGGAAGAAGAAACCCAAACCAGTCAATTACTGTTTTACTAGTTATGCTCACGGTACCAACTCACCTAACATCTTCCTGCCTACACAGAAGCAAAGGAATAAAAGTGAATTCTATGGTTTATCTGTACCTTGACTTTGTGAAGAAATAGGCATCAGGTTTTTAAGCGGAACAAATCTACTTATTTTCAAATGTGACCCCCCCCCCAAGAGTGGAAAGTAATAATAGCACAAAATGAGAGCATGTTAATTATAGCACCACTGAGCATTCCTGATGACACCAAGTTCTGCCCACTTCAGTCACTATGTCTCTGCTAGAAATAAGTAAGCTCCGACACTGTCATATTTCGTATAACTGTATGAAGACTCAGAGAGCCTTGATGAAGCCAGAGTGGGTTAAGGAAAGAAAAGAATTTTCCCCATAACTGGAAAAAACTAGCAAGAATCAACAAGGGACATAAAAATTCTTTCTTGTGTATTGTTCACAAAATATTTCAAAAATGAACACAACTGAGTTAGGGCTTTTTTTTTTTTGATTCCTGTTAAAAAAAGGTTATGGAATGTTCTTTCATCATCTGCCTCAATACTAAATTTCCATACTTCTTAACTTCTGAAGAGAGGTACTAACAGGCAGTATTGAATTGGTGTGCAGGTATGAGTTTTATTTTTATTTTTTAATTACTATATATTATTTTGAAGAAGAAAGCATACATTTAAACACAGGATATTTGCAGCACTAAGTCATCACACAGGACGCATGGTCCAATCTTGGATGTAAAAGATTATGTACAATCACAACCACAGCATTCTCTGATAAAGATTCAAAGTAGAAGTCTAAATAAGAACAGGAGAGTTGTGATCCATACATTCAATCCAGCCTTATTAAACAAAACCCACATTAATTTGTCTTAAATCAATGCTAATTATACTTACTAATGACAAGGTTAGTTAGCAGCAGCAGAAGCCATTTTCATAAACATATACATGTCCATCAAGTACATAAAAAAAATAGTATACTGCCTACTTCCACAGAATAATATACATCAGTTGTGTTTACTAGGTTGGCCAACACAAATAAAAGGTCGCCATACTCTGATTATTTAACTCAGTTAGGTCCTTATCAACCAGTTAGAGCCCAGTGGAAATGAATACCCAGTTGTTTTTGTTTAGTTTTCTCAATTGCATCTACAACATTTCTGCAGCCACCAACACCACTTCTAAAGAAAGGCAAGTGAAAGGATATATAACAAGTCAGGAAAACATGCTATTAACAGTAAAATAAAAATGCCAAATGTGCTTTTGGTGATGGAATAAGAAGTGGCATCATCTTCACAGAGTGTGTTCATTCATTTGCTTCCTGGTACAGATCGTTCTGAAGTTATCTGTTACATTTTTTTTAAACAAAATTTCTTTTCAAAATTACAACAAAACAAATATCTACTATTAAAATTCACTAGTGTGGTTTTCCCAAATGTGAGAACAATTACAGAATCCCTTCCAAATTAGAGCTATTCATTGGTTTTGGTTGTACAGTGCCTGGTACATAGTAAGGACTCAGTAACTTCAATGAAGAAATCTGCATTTCCAGAAACACACAACATCCTTTCTCAAATTACAGAAATCAGAGGCATTCATGAGACAATAAAGGTGTACCAGGCATGGGTTATGTGCCCGATACAGTGTTAGACAATAGAACAAAAAGTTATTAATACAGAAGACAATGAACAGAACAACTTCATTAGATTTTTCAAAAATCCATGTGAGAGCTATATGGATGGCTGTGGATATTCAGGTGAAAGACTTAGAAATAAGTTAAGCACTTAAGATTTTCAAAACCCTTTAGACAAGTGTTATCACATAATTGAAATCTTACAGTTACCTGAATTTTCCAGTATCAACTGGATGACAAAGTCCAAACGATGCACACTATTAAAGTAGGTGGATATTTAGAAATACATTTACTTGAAAATTTTGCTTTTGTTCACCATGTTTTGCATCTAGTAAGTCTATAAGAAGCCAGTCCTTAAAAGCAAGGTGTTCATATCCCATTTTGTGGATAATACAAGTGACATCAGGGTGTTTTCATGATTGTGTTCTGAGAGTTGGTCACGACACCAAAAATAAAACCAGCAGGTGGCTCTGAACACTTAAAAGAAAAACCCACATACACATACAGACATGGGTATGGATCTATGAGTGCGATCACCAAGCACACAGAGCAGAAACTAAGCTACACAGAGAAGTCTCCCAAGAAAACTATGAGGGAAAACCCCCTTGAAGCACTAAGCCTGAAAAGAGAAGTAGACACAGATGAGGGATCTGGTCTGGCTAAACCATGTAGAGAAACGATGACAAACTAGCAAGGACGCATGAACAAAAGGTAAGCCACTGACAAGGGAGACTCGGAATTCCTGCTCACAAGTGAGCGGGTTTGTGGCAGAAAAAAAGAAACAGGAACTTTCAAATTCCCCAGACACATATGTAATACCATAGCATGAGAGTCACAATGAAAAATTCCAGAGTCCACGCAGACTTTTTGAACTCCAACAGTTACCTACCATGTCCTGCTACCAGTTTCCTTTAGAAATTCCTGACTATTTAAGTCCAGTGATAATGATTAGAGAGTTGGGAATCAGAAAGGCCTTGCCTGAGAGCTAAAGAAGCCAAGGGTTCTACAAACTCAATCTTTGCCATTCCAACAGAGTTTTACTCTGGTCTCCAAGGCTGTGGCAAACCCTAAAAGATTAAAATGCCTTAAGGTAACTGGCATTCCCTAATCAAGGCACCATGTGGAAAGCAAGTGAGGCCAAAGGAGGAAATGTGAAAGAAAAAAAAAATCCTCATAAATAATGTGGCCTTTCTCAGTCCAGAGTAGCCAACGAACATTTCGGTAAAATGAGAAATAAAAAATATTTATGTGCTTCTGCACCGACAAACATTTTATGCAATTAAAAAGAAAAAGGATTTAACATTACATCAGACAAAAGCAGTGGTAAGAAAGTATATTTTACATCCCTAGAAGACTTACAGACACGAATGTTTGCTATTTCCGAAGGAGGAAATTATTATTGCTGAGCAGGGAAAGAGGCTATGGCCTCTTAGTTTTACAGTGCCTGGGGAAGAAGGGAAGTAGCAAGTGAGAGGACAGTTACACTCTCCTTTCATAGCCCAGGTCATCCAGCCAAGAGGAAACAGGGCTATTTGAATACAAGCTGAAGATTTCCCTGATTAAAAACGATGCCTTTCTCCACAAACGACTAGATGAGTCTTATTAATGATAGTCGTAAATGAGTCACCTAAACGCCTTCTGAGATAGTTCTGCATACATATTTGAAAGTTGGAATAGGTTAAAAATCTTGAAACTCGCAGAAGTCTGCCGCTCATTTTGGAGACTTAGAAACCTTGACTTCTGTTGAGGGACTTCCTTTCGGATGCAATTCTGAATACAGTTACTCCCCGCCCTGGATCCACGTGTACGTGGGACTTGGAAAGTTCTGCGGAGGAAGGGGTATTTGGAGTGCTAGGCTGAGTGATGCCCAAGCTCATGAAGGCGTTTCCGAATTTAAGGTTGAAGGTGGCATGAATAGAAGACTTCAGCCCCCCTCAAACCGGTTTAAAACTGCACCCACTTACTTTAAAATCCCCCAAACGCACAGGACCTCCTACCTGTCCCTCCAGGTCTCCAGCAGGTCTAGGATGCCAAAGGCTCCCCAAGCACCAAGGCATGTTCTACATTTAAACTGAGAACCTCAACCTCAAGCGGCGCAAGGCGACTTCAGGGACACCCTCCCCTCCCCCGGCGGGCAGAAACCGGGTCGGGGAGGGACGGCCGACGCTCGCAGAGAGGGGTCCCCAGGTTCCCTCCGGACCCTGGCTGCAGGGGCCCGCCGTGTCGCCGCGCCTGGCCATCTCCCCGCTCCCGAACCCGCCGCGCGGGGGGCCCCCAGGCTGCGGGGAGACCGTCCGCCTCAGGGTCTCTGCAGCGCAGCCTCCCAGGCAATTGCGTGCAGCGGGACGTGGCCTCGGCGCCCAAGCCTCAACCCTTCCCTTGCCGTCCGGCGCCCAGGCCGCTCCTCGCCTGCGGCCTCTCGGTGCGGCGGGACACTTGGCAACTTACTGGGGCAGCGCCAGGCCCGCGCCGAAGCGGCGGTAGTGGGCGACCCGCGGAGGGTGTTGGGGTCCCGCGGCTCGGGAGGCTGGAGGAGCGGCCGCCGAGACGCCGTTCGCGCGGAGAGGAGCCCTGGCCGGCGCGCTGCAGAAGGCGGGCAGGGCACGTGGGCGCCCC